GTGAGTTGACCTATAGTGGTTCTGCAAGCTTGTAATGTGTTCTTAATTCTATGCTAAGTGTTTGCCAAACATCTACCATATGTCTGTACATTGCATCGACTTTTGCACCTTCAGTGCTCCAGGAAAGACCAACAAGCTGTCATGTTTGTTCTAGCAAGATAGCGCTCATAGCCCTCTTTGGTAATTATCATTAATAAAGGAATAAATCGAACCACAATCACACTAGAATCCAGTGAATATTGTTGTCAAATGCCAGAGTACTGAATGTACAGAAGTTGTACTGATCATTTGACACTGTGCCACAACAGGCAAATTTTCTCATTGAAACTTTGATCCATTATGGAAAGTCCAATATAATGTTTGTACAGCATTGAGGGATTGCTGTGACCACCATACTTTGCGGTAGTTTTTAGTTTCACAGCCATCCAACATTGGAATTCTTATTCCTTAGGTATAGTTTGTTTCACACAGCAATTTAGTACAAGAGAAACTTTGCCTGTAATGGATAGAATGACAAAATAAAACACTTCATTTATGGTATTTCCTCAGCAAGTTTGATAAGAAAATTTTGCAACATGTAATATTTTGCTATACGTTTACAGAAAACTGCATGACGGTAATATTTTAGTTTCAAACAACTATCCAGTCTTATAATTATTATTCCTCATTTCAGTTATCCACAGTGAAATGTTCATGAATCTCTTGACATTTCCTGTTGCAAATGAAATGATAGAAATGAAAGTATTGGTATTGCCTATGAAGTGACTGTACCCTTCTGAAAGCAAATTCCAATTACTCCTGGAAAATGCACAGATGTTGAAATATGAACCAATAACTTTCCTAATCTAGGAATCACCATGGATATATTCTGTTCATGATATTTATCGTAATCTGTTTTCGTCATTTCTGACATTTATTTCTCCATGCAGATTATCTCACGTATCAGAGATAGTATTTTTCCCATTGTTTATGATAGTATCATAAAGTGTTGCACAATGTTCTTATCAACTTTTGGAGGAAAGTTGATAAGAAGGAAGAGAAAGTGTGTTATTTTCTGTCGATTTACCCACTACAGGCATAGTTACCTTGTACCATATGGCTGTGTGGAACTAAAACTGGTATTTATTACCAAGAGCAAAACACCTCTAGGGACAAAGTTTTAAAACTAGGTTATCATTTGAAATAAAAAATCCAAACCTAACCTTCCCTACCTCTACTTATTTCCTAGACAGGGGGGCAAGCCTCCTGTACCCTCTTTATTAGCACTTCATGCCAACTCAAAAAAACACAACATTAAGACCTCTGTCTACATGAGGGTGTAGTGAACTTACTCTCTGAGCGGTGATATGCAGCGGATGTTTTTGTCATTTCACAATAAATAGGAGGTCGCTGCAGCTGTACCTGTGCTGTTTATTATTAGGCAGTATCTATTTCTCTGTATCTTCAAGTGTCACTCTGTGTGACATTAACCCTAAAACTATACCCACTTTGCACTTATAAAGGTTGGTAAACTTTGACCATATATGAGGGTATGCATGTCCAAAATGCATTTATTAAATGATTTGTTTGTTTAAAACTATCTGTAGTATCAGCATCAATGTTTATATAAATGCACTACAATCATTAACATTGAAGCTTGTGCTAAAGAAATTTAAACTTACAAAACATTTAATAAATACTTTTTCAAGCAATTGGTTCATAAGTTCTGATAAGATGGAGCCTAGACTGGTTCATTTATTTTTTTTTTTTGTTTGTTTGCAATGGGACGGCATCTGTCAAAGGTTGTCTCCAGTAAATGCATGAACTCCATCCTAAACTCACAAACTACCCCAAAGATTGCTGTAAGAGCCAAAAACCTTCCTATGTGGGTGCTGTACCTCTTTACCCCAACATTTACTGTATTTCCATAGCCTAAGTATACTTTTACCCAAAATACATTGTGAGTGACATGGAAAAATACTTGTTTTATGATATTAGTTTTATGGTTATTATATTGTTACGTGAGTGCCCTTTTTTTACTTACTTTCAGTTGTTGATGACATCATATAGAATGAGAATATATAATTTTCTTTAAAAATATTTAACCCATTCACGCCGGGTGTCACGTGTACGTGACGTGCCCACTGTGAGTTTACTTGTTTAATTGTTTTCAAACATAGATGGCTATACTTATACTTGTACTGCCTGTCTCGCCTGTTTACCCTTTTCTTTAATTTACGAAAATATTTTACGTTATCTTATTTTGCTGTTACTAATGTTTATAACATTATAGTAATTATAATGTTTATAATAAAAATAACCATCGATATTCGTAACACTAGTAAAAATACACTTTCCTGCCAATTCAAGTGAAGGTGAAATCAGGTAAGGCAGAGTCATCTAGTGTAGAGACATTTCACAAAAATATATAAAAAATGAGCACAGCATTTTCCCAATTTTTTGTTAATTTTTACCCGTCGCAAATGGGTTAATTTGCATTGATCTGTACTTAAGCCAATTT